AGGTTAGTAACTAAAGTTTACATTAACTTTTCAAGTGTTTTCAGTAATAGACACACTGCTGAATGTTTCATAGAACATCAGAATAAGGCATTCTTTCTAAGCTGATGCAAGCGCTTTGCAGATTATAGAAAAGTGTTCCAGCCTTAGGACAGAATTAAACTTTTGTTGTCTCCGAAATCTCCTCCAAAGTTTTTAAGCATGCTGTCTCAAGCTGAGCAATAAGAGAATAGCTATTAGATATTGATAGTTCTTTATCTGAGAGCTACATAGAAATATGTCAGTATATAAAAATTCTTCCAGTTTGCCAGGTTACACAAAAGCATTCTCTTGGCAATCAGTGGAATCTGGTGCACAACTTTTTGGTTTTCTCTTGATTTTTTCATTCCTGTTTGTTTTGGTTTTTTTTAAATGCAGTTATTTTGTATTAGCACATAAAGTGTTTTGGCAAGATACCAAAAGTAAGTAAAGGCAAGTGACACATAGTTTGATGGATGTATAGATTTTGAGGCCAGAAAGCATCATTGGGAAGACAAGTCAGGTCAGAGACATAATGTTTTTGGAACTATAGCCATATGAAATCTGTATTTTGCAGTGAGAGTGAATCCACTGAATTTGGGTATGTTGTTTCAAGGGATAATTACCCTACTTGCCAAAATTTGCTGCTTCTTACAGACATTGCCTGGAGGTCTGTGTTTTATTACTGTTTCATTAAGTGATGCCAATAAACTTTATTTACACTCATTTATGTATGTTTCCCTGTAATGTTAGAAAGAAATGATGTTGCTTGTAAACAATCTCAGTAGTGCAAAAAGGAAGGAAGCCTTGGTCACAGAAAGTTGTGTAGTAATTACCTGCCGGCAGGATGTAAGCTTGTTTTAGGCTCTTGCTGATCATATTCAAGGTTACAACAAATAACAAGCAATCCATAATAATTTTTTTCTAATTTAACTGGGGGAGGAATTTCCCAGGCAGTCCTCCTCTTTGTCTAAGCTTGTATTGTCTAGGTCTAAGGACAGGCTACTCCTTACCTTCAACTAGATAGGAAAAATAAAGATTTCAGGGTTGTTTTTTTCTTCCCTCAAGTCAGAGATGCAAAAAAGTCATCAGTTCCAGGAATTTATGTCCTTCTCTCTTGGATGTTGCTGGACACGTGTGTTTATTTTCTTTCAAGATGACGTACATCTGGGAATTTCTGGAGGAATGCTCATAATTTCATTTATTGAAACATGCTGTTTCGTGCTTTATGTTAATACAGTAAATGGTGTCTCTTATTTTAAAAGTGAAATAAACCTTGTTTCCTTCTCTTTGACAGGTGCTTGTATGTACTTCATTTTAAATATCCAGTTTCAAACTGTTGCAAATTTCTCAAGGTGTTTAAAATGTGCCTGTCATTTTCATAAGCGAATTTATTCACTTTTCTATGTGAATTTTCTATGTGAATTGACTGCTTTGACTGCACATCAGTTAAAATGTGAAAGCAGTGGTTTCTGTCCAGATGTCAGCAAAAAAGTGAGGCCTATGTTTTATTTTTGCAGTGTATGTACAGAAAATTGAGATACAGATCTTGGTACACAATACTAGGTACCTTAGTAAACAGATTAGAAGTACTGTGTGTTCCTGGGGTATCTTTTTTTCTGCTTCTAGCAAATAGCTTACTAGCTGTGTAACAGATATTCCACCTTGCACCACACCAAAACAACTGTTAACAAGTCTCACCGTATTGTATATTGAGAGTGATAAATGTCTTAAAGTTTTTTTTTCTGTTTTCAGTATGTCTGTGTTTTTTTCCAAATCCCCAATATTTGGGCTTTTGCAGCAAGTCTTTTGACCCACTGCAGAAAGCTAATATGGTTTTCCATTAGCAGTAAACAATGATATTTTTGTTTGTGTTACAGGAAAATGATGAGCAGCAGTCCCAAGCAGTAACAGCTTTTCCACCAAAGAATTCTACTTCAAGGTCACCACTTTGCCTGTGTAAACAATCCACAAAACCTCTCTCTGATAATACTAGTGAGAGTCACATGATGCACAAAGCCAAAAATTCTCTAAATGAACAAGGATTATCTGAGCAAGATGAGCAAAAAGAAAATTGTAAAGTGCAGTAAATCTGTGTAGACTTAAGCACAACTGAGAATAACTGATGATTAAAAACCAGTTTGTAAAATAAATATCAGAACTATATGGAAGGCACCATTTTCTCTTATCCAATGATTAACGATATATGGGATCTGTAAAGCTTTTTTTTGAATATTTGCTAATACCAATAGTCAATCAAACTTGTGAAATAGTAATGAACTATAATTGTAGAATTATAATTGTAGAACTTTCTGTAAATAGTTCTTTATAAATCTGTTAAAAAATTAAACCATGGAAAAAGCAGACCACATGTTGCCATTGTTGTCATTCTTTCTGAGTACCAATGGTTGATTTACAAATGCAAAATAAACTCATTTAAGTATCTCTAAAAATATTAGCTTCCAGGAAAAATGACGCAAACACCATTGGATGATTTAAAATGAAGCAGTGACATAATTTCTAAATGCAAGACAAAATATAAAAACAGATGTAAGATGCATCCAGTGCACAGGTCTAGTGTGCTGTGTCTTGGTATCTCTTGTTCCTGATGGATTAATATTATGCAAAGGGGGATGAGACATGGTCCAAACAAAGCCAAAGAATATTCCTTGAAACTAAGTCTGTTTTCCCTGAAACCAAGCATCTGGCAAACCATCTCTTTGTACTTCCCAGTACGTACTGGCTTTGACCATAGCTGAAGTTCTTACAACATTAATCTTCACTTATGCAAAATGGCCCTTGGCCAGCCAGCAATCCTCTGCAAACTGGGGGGGAGTACTTTGTTCTTGGCCAGAAAGGACACTGTAACAACACATTTGTGCTTGTTCCATGAACATCAGCTGTCTCCTTCTCTGCAGGTCACCCTTCACTCCAACAATGCTTAACATCAAATATGCCACTTTATATGAAAATCACTGGAGGCTTGTACCTGATGTAATGAGAGTGGATGTCTTGGAAAAATGGTCAGGTGTCACAAAATATCTGCATAGAATGCCCTAAGTTAGCTCCTTTACATTTAAGAAAAATCATATTTGAGATACCAAAAGACAGTAACTTACCTGGAAATAGCATTTAAATAACTCCATCTAGTTCATGAAAGTGCACTTGAATTTAGGATGATTCATTACAGATACGCTCACCCCAGCAAACTTCTACTTGTGGATTTCAAAGGTCTAACTGGTCTAACTGCTCAGTAGCACAGAGCAATTTTATGCTATAAAAAAGAGTGACATCAACTACATCAGTCGTTATCCAACTGAACAAGGAATTACTTTCTGATAATTCATATTTCTTATGCTCACCTACCCTGGCCAGGTATTAGGAAAATCAAGCTCCTCTACATGAGCAGTAGTGCCCTAAGACTCCAAGATGCACAGCAGAGAGGCATTTTCATGTTGTTATTCTGTCAGAAAGACATTTCTCCTTTCAACAAAAGTGGGTAATAATGTTTTCTACTCTTTGAAAAGGATTCTTTAACTTTAAATAAAAGATAATACCTTTGTTTTAAGTTGAACTTTCAAAGTGTAACAATTGCTTCTGTGATGAGACCTTCTACTTGAAGGTGAGTTAATTTTATGCTCAAAGCAGTGTTTTTCTCTTTTTACACACACATACACACTGTTATTCTGCTTTGTTTGCAGCATTGTCTGTTAGAATACAGTCAGTTTATGAGAACAAATAATCTACTCATTAGTCTAACTGAAAAAACTTTAAAGAAATTGAGCATTTGTATCAAATGAGTAACAAATCAGACAAACAAAAATACTTTGTATGGTTCAAAAGAACAAAATCTTATATGACCTCTCCTTTACTAACTAAGGTTATCTATAGTTGGTGTAGGATCAGTAAACCTTGTGGCTTTTTCCTAAACATCTCGAATTGTTTTTAACTTAAGTATTAGGTAATTAAAACAATCCTTGTGGCACTATGCCTAGAGGCATCTTCCAGAGAGACTGAAAGGGGCCCATCTTAAAGGATGCATTTTATTGCCTCATCTTCTGTCAGGATACTGACAAAGCTGCTTGTAAAAATTAAATTATTTCAGACAGGTTTTATGTGGTGAACTTCTTTAGGGATCATCTGTGGAATTAGCAATTTTTTAAAAAATTAAGTCTCAAGGTAGAAGCCGGTATGTGAAAAGGCACTGGTAGCGGACAACAGAATAAACCCAAACAAAACTAGTATGTTTTATTTATCCCAATCATTGTTTTTCTATTTTAATCTAATGCCTTGAAAAGTGTCCCACTTGGAGAAGAGTGTGGAAAAAACATCTATCTTTAGAAAGCTGTCTAATCTTAACCAGACAAATTTAAACAACTATGTTATAATGAAAGAAGCGACTATCATCAGTAAAAGAAAGGATTGAGGCTTTAGTCATTACATATTTTCCTACTTGGCTGCACTTGTATTTTATAAGTGTTTAGATTTTATTAAGTGTGAAATGTTTGCATTTTGAAAGATTGTAGTGCCTGGGTTTTTTTCAGTAACTAGTATGTATTGTGGTACTAGCTAGTCTTAGCTTTTTCACATATAAGCCAATATAGGTTAAGATTTTAAAGAGATCTTAGATTATTGCCTAAATCTCTTGAAAGTGGGACTTAATATTCTACATCCTCTTGCAAACTGATGAGATTCCAGGTTGCAATTCACATAGGGAAGCTGTATTGAAAACTTAATTTCCAACCTATCTGTATATCAAGCATGCAGAGGAAAAAAATCCAAGTGCTTTATCAGGATTTCTCATAGGATTGTCAACTATCTGTAATGAATGAAAGGACACTTGTATCTGGCTTTCTATTCTGATTGTGAAAACCCCTGTAAAAATGTCTTTGGTGCTCTGGTATTGTTCTCAGCATGCTAACCTGGTTGTTGCCATAGTGATACTGTGTTACATCACGGGCAGATGCATTAGGTGGATCTCTTCGTTTTCCTGTTTACCCAAGGTTTACATTGTAATTGGTGTAAAAACTAGTTCGCTGTCCCAACTGATTTTGAATGCTCTCTGAAATGCCCAAAACTGTGAGTTAAAAGCACGTCGCAGGAATGTTGGCATCCTTTTGCCATGTGCCCTCACAGCTGATGTAAAGGTGTGGTCGGTTTGTGATGTTCAACTCTTTCTTCAGGCCTTGAACTATTCTTGTCATTTTTACCTAGTAATGAAAGAAAAACATAAAAGGAGATTTGTTTGTCTGCTGCTTGTCCATGACTATTATGAAGGGCCAACTGCTGTCTCATGTGTCAGAATTCAAAATGTTCCCAGGTCATGTCCTGCCCCGACTTCTGGAGTCCTCTTGGCTCAGGAATAATCAGGAGTTCTCCAGACCTTGAGTGCAGAAACAATACAGCAGTGGCAGGGCTCAGATAGCCCTGTGCTTCCTGTGGCATAGCTACAATCTAAATAACTACCATTTGGGTAGAGTTTGTACAAATTTTTTAAAAATTTGTAGGACAAATGCCATTTATTGAACGTGGTCCTGTGCTACCTTCTCGAGCCTCAGCTTCCAGCAGATGCTCTGCACTGCACTGCAGTTCCACCCTTGGGTGCAGTGCTGCCATCACCAATGTCTGCTGGCTCACAGCAGGACCACTCAGAAGGGTCTGACAGTCCAGTAACAGCCAGCGGGAGGGAGAGATGAAGCTGAAAGAAGAATCACACTCTGGCTATCCAACTTACTAATTTTGTTGATGTGCCCTACAGTTGATATGGGGAACAATCCACAGTGGTGGACAATCTGAACACTGTACAGTAGGGAAAGCAGTGCCACTCCATGGCCCAGGTGCCAGAGAACACTCTGTACTTGTCCCAGAGCTAGTTTCCTTGTTCCTCCTATTTGAGATTTCAGCTGTCTAACCTTTAAAATGATTCCATCTCCCTCTGCTTTTGCTGTCTTATCCTAAATAGCCACAAATTACAAAAGGCTGCCAGTAATTTTTTGCAGAAAACAATTGAAAACAGCTGTTTGAACTTCTTAATGATGTTGACAACTGAATGCAAGGTGGACTATGGTGAAAGCAGACTGCAATAGCAGTACTCAAAAGCAATGTGAATTTGCTTTATATGTGGACTGGTCTGTGTATATTTCTTGTGACAGAAGATGATCTCTGTATGTATATGTGCGTGTGCATGTGCTTTGACACACTTGTAGGCACACCTAAGCACTTATTTCAGTGTAGAGTTCAGAAAGTATGGAACTCAGAAAAACAGGATATTGCTATAAAATAACTAAATCTGCTTAGCTTTTTGCATGGTTTTATTTGTCTGCCTGGAAGCTTTTTTAACAGCAGAAAAATCATGATCTCTATTGACAATTCAGCTGTTGAAACACTTCAGTGAAAGCTCTGATGATAGATGGGTGCACAGAAAAATCAACAGCTTTCTGTTATTTTGCTTTTCTGCTACTCTGCTTCATAAATTAGACAGATGAAAGCTCAGTGAGAGTCTGCTCTGTACTAGGCAGTGTTTCAGGGTTCCTTTATTTAGGCAGCCTGCTGAGTACCACATAAAATCAGTGTAAATACACTTGATCTTGTGAAAGAAGATTGACTTTTCATCAAGACTGTGTACCCACATCAGATTTTTTATGTTTTAGAGGCAAAACAGGGAAGTGGGAAATTATTAATTGTGCTTGGGGACTTGAATTTCTTTCTTTCTTTTTTTTTTTTTTTTTTTTTTTAAGTATAGAGAAAGGGAAATGTTCTGTGTTCTTTTGACCCCAAGTTGAAAAATACTCTGTTTTCAGCACTCTTGTTGGTATTTAAAGACATGCATGGCTTTAGGCACTGCCTGGCACTGATGGGTGGAAGATTTTAGTTCTCCTGATGGGAGCATAGTTTGGATTAAATTAATTTTAGATTAACTTAATTAACTTGGATTCTAATCATAGAGGCTAAAAGTAGTAAAGGAGATGACCATTTGGATTTTTGTTTCTTGTCAATATCTTGTGAGCAATTACAGAGGGAAAGAAGATGTTTTGTATTCCTGAATCTTCTACTTGCTCAACTGCTTATTTAACTTGGTTAGCTGCTCTTCTACCTCTCTTTTTATATGAATGTTTTTTGTCTGGCTTTTGATATTATCTTCAGATCAACAAATCTACTGCTGAGACAGGCAGCTACCCATGAAAGTATTGGTTTATATCAAAGAGTCTAAATAACAATGTCCCATTAACTGCACATCCCCTTACACAGTGGTGTCAGTATGTGTAGGAAGGGTACTAAATTATTTGTTCAGGTGTCTCAATCCCCTTTGCTAACGTCTTTGACAAAGCAGCATGCTTGTGTTGTAATCATCATTTTAATGTGCTAAAATGACATGGGAAAAAATGAAAGGTCAGTGAACCAACTGCAGGGAAGACAATATAGCCTTAAATGCTCTGCCAGAGCTTCTAAAATGTAGGTTAGTTGGCGGATTGAGTTCACGTTGTGTTTGGCTACAGCTTAGAACTAAAAACTGGGGAAAATAGTCTTTTTTTTGCTCTAATCCTGATACACACAGTCAACCTAACCTGTTGTAGGACTGGTGCTGGAATAGCCATATTCCATAGCCAGATAACTGGTAAAGGGTTGTTCCCTGCTCTGATGAAGGCTAGCAGAGGAGAGCAAGCATTAATGAAGATTTTTTTTCCCCACTTGTTTCTTATCCCATACCTCTTCATCAGCAAAGAAAAGTGGGGGATTTTGCAGTCATTTTAAAGGCATTTCTCCTGGTTTCAGTCACCACAGTTGCTATTTCTGCATTGCTGTCTAGGGTACATTGAAAAAAATGTTGATGGGAATGTAAGAGATTACTGGCTTGCTGTAGCAGGCAGGAGGATTCCACAAATTCACATTGTCCCTGTGGTACACTGGAGATACTTCTATAAATTCAGTAATGCAGCTATGATTATTCTTCTCCTTGCCTCCCAATTAACCAGTACTGCACATATTGTTCCCTGTCAAATATCTTATTTTGTCAGATGCCAGAGAGCAGTGTTGTTCTCTTTTCAAATTGCTGGTTTGATTTCTGGCAGTACTTGATTGCTTTAAAATGTGCTTTCTGCATCCATTTTCCTCAATACTTAATTAACTGGAGAAAACGACTGAAATGAGGTTTCAGTTAAGTAGGTGTTTCACTTTTGTCCCCACTATCTCATTCATTTATTTCCTCTAACTCACTCAAGTAGTCTCAGAGACTTTCTTTTTCCTTTGCAAGAAATTTTGCAGTCCAGATTACCTCTCTTTTAGCTAAACCCTCCTGGAAAATCCCATTCTGGAAAGAAGCACAGAGGCAAGACTGCAGAAGAGGTGGACTCCAGTAAACTACCCTGGAGCAGAGCTCCATAAAACACACTGCATAAAGTAGCAGCAAATTTACCTTCTCTTTGTAAGAATAATGTGGAACACTGCCACATTAAACCTTAGGACTGCATGTAGTCCAAGGTTATGCCTGCCTACCACGTGCACAGGTTCCTCAGAGGTAAGACACCAACTTGAACATCCAGAATTCATTGGAGCAAAACAGGCCTTTTTTCCATGTTCTTCTGTGATCCTGTGTGTTTTTGTATTTCAGCCTTTAAAAGAGCCAAGACAATTGTAGCTAAATACGTGAGTGATCCAGTGTAATCATAATGGTGATGAAATTTGCAGTCCATAGTTGGGATTGCAGATAGTTAAGTAAGCAGGCAAACAGTTCACCTATCTTGAAAAATACATGACTAGATTCTCAGCGGCAGATGATTGCAGAATGCACTGAGAGTGCCTGACCAAGTGCCTTGACTTAGTCAAGACTGAGAAAATTATTAATATTACTGTAAGAATGAATCAAATGGAAAACGAATTATGGATTATTTAATTAGGATTGCTAGAGCATCCTCACTCAACTTTGTTTTATTAGGAGATGATAATCATGACGGCCTTTTTGTTCTGTAGGAGAAGACCTGTCGGTATTCATGACATGGAATGGAGTCTAGAAGCTGTCATATAGAAAGGGAAAAAGGATGGGCAGACTATGAGGAACTTACTGGGAAAATTTTAAAACTCTGGTTCAATTTGAAGATCATTACAATGGCCATTCAATCTTAAGCACTTTAACAGAAAATTAGTTGCTCTTGTTGAAACTTATTAAAGACAATGTACACTCTCCATGAGCTGGAAACACATAATGTCCAGTGCTTCAAAAGAAATCACTTTTGTAGCTCAACATATCAGTGTTCAGAAAATATGGAGCAATAAGAACTCCTTGTGATAGGGATCCAAAGGATTCCTCCACGCACACGTGTCAAACTGACTGATAAGATTTGCAGTCTTCAGTATCTTATTATTTTGAGAAGTTTATGGCCATGATAGACATTAAGAAATACCCAAGAATAATGAAAAGAGCAACTTTAAAACCTATTCTATGCCTCTAAAAGGATTCTTACAATAATTTCTGGACTGATACAGAAGTTACTAAAACCTATTCCCAAGGCTACTCTTTGTAAATATTATAAGGTAATTTTTTATCTTCTGTGTTCTGTTTTGCTGAGTTGACTGCTAAAGTGAACCTTCAACAAAAGGGAAAAATCTAGTACAGCAGTCAAGGCTATGGAAGGCTGTGAGGACTGTGAGAGTTTGTGGCCAGGCCTGCACAGTGCTGAGCCAGCAGATTCAATCCTGTGTTGTAACTATCAGTTAATCGTGTTGTAACTATGAAAGTTTCCCCTCTAGATCTCATTTTGAAGCTTGGTGACATATAACTAATTAAAGTTTGGGGTTAGGCTTGGTTTTAGTGGCTGAAGTAATCAAAGGTGTCAGCTATGCAGATGTGAAGAGTCTACTGTACACACGTCCACCGGTAGTGAGATGGACCATGTTTACGTGATACTCATCCAAGTTTCCGGTTGTCTCCATGTATGGAAACTCTGGTTTCCATAGGCAGATACCTGTGTACTTGAAAAATGGCTATTTGCCACTGCAAGCACACCTCTGAATGTGCATATGAAACGGGGAGAGCTACACAGTATATACGGCCAGAGCAGGCAGTGAAATTAGTACATCCAATTGAAAATCAGAAGAATTTTAAGAAACTGAAATTAAACTATTCATGCTGGAATTTCTAAAAAATATTAGCTGTGTTGCTTTGCCAAAACAGAAGATTCCTACTTTAAGTCCCATGCTGAAGAGAACTTGTTTCACAGGACACTTCCCTTTCTGCCTGTGATGGGGCCAGCGGGTTAGTATTGGTTTGGAAGAAAGTTTCCACATACCAGATCACTGACCTTTTCTGTTGTGAGAAGAATAAACTTGGGTCCTGTGCTCATCTCAGAGCAGTCATTTTCATTTTTACTGGTTTACTTTTAAGACTTTCCCATGTGCAGTATCTAATTACGGTACATTACAAAATTCTGTATTTAAATGGTAGCAGTGCACAGAGCTGAAAGGGACTGTTGGTAAGTTGCTTATTCACTTTGATGATTAAACCACTAATTATTGCATTAGCATCCCAAACCACACTTGTTTCTGATGTATCTCCTCCTAAAGCAGTCCCACGAGACATGATGGGCTAAATAGAAAGGGTACGGCGCTTGAAGAAGGGAAGGGCAAAGAACATGTAGGAGATAGTGCCAGGGATTAAGCAGAGGTTGCTTTCTCCTGTGTCTGCTTCAGTGTGACTCAAGATAGTGCTGGGGTGTGGCACATCAAAAAAGGACTTTTTGGCCTTAGAAATGTTAAAATAGACCTTTCGACCAAAGGCTATGAAAGGCCCTATGACACTTCCTGCCAGATCTTATCGCTGAGGCTATACTCACACAGTAATCAAAGGAAATAATTTTGTTTGGTTAAATAAAATGGGCTTTCAGCTTCCACACCACTATGGTGTTCAGCTGCCTGTGGTGTTCTGTGTTCCTGTCCTGAAATGTTTGGTAACACTGCTGGATGCCATTTATCAGCTGTCTTCCATCCTCCCCTCACCTTAGATAAAACTTTTGGTGTCATTACACTGTACTGTTTTAAGCATGAACACTTTATGATCCTCCTAAAACAAAGACAAACCAAGTGTAAGATACTACTTTGTGTCTTCAGAAGCTTTTGGCTTTACATGATAAAATTCCAGGAAATAAATTAGTTGAACCGGTTTGCTCATTGGAAGACTGATGGGCACTGGATCCCTCACCCCTTCAAGTACTGTTTAGTTTCCCATCAATTTCCTGAAATTATTCACTTACAGACCCATTTCAGTGGCTATTTCAAGCCCAGGAGGGACACTTTTTCCACTTTCCTGGATTACAAGAGCTACTCTTTTACCTGTACCTCTTAGCAAGAACCAACAATTTTTTTTTCTTCTTAAGGAAATATTTTTAATTGAATTGATGCTTCTCGAACTGTATCTGAGTATGGATCAGTTTCTGTAGCAGAAATGTCCTCCTTGCACTTCTAAGGTATAAAATGGCCTGATGTTGGATTTGAGCAAGTGGCTAGATAAGAAAAACCCCAACTTTCACAAGCTTTCCTGAGTGGAGACCATTTCAGTACTACAGAAAAGGGGGGAACCTCTTTGCTCTGTGAAAATTTGTTAGAAAAACTCTCCAGTTCCTCAATTAGTGTGCTAATTAATTGTAGTTCTAAAACATAAAAGAATGTTTGAACATCCAGGGCTGGGCAGGTGAAAAGAAGCCTCAGCTGAAGATTTCTAAGTAGACCACTGAATGCAGCTTGCAGAGGTAGTGACACAGCGTGAACAGCAGAAATAAATCTTGGTGGAAGGACTGGCGCATGCTTTCTCCTGGACATGCTATTTGAAATTGCATGTTCTGAGGCAAAAAAAAATTGCTCCTCTGACACCTTGATGAATCAGATTGAAAATTACCTTGGGCTGGAGTCCAGTGATAGAACTGCCCTCTGTGCCCCACTTTACACCAGTAATTATAACGTGCAGGTATGTAGAGAACAGGATCTAAGGTGAAGATACCAGTCATTTAAAAAGGCTCTTATATTTGAGGCACTGTCTTTCTTTCCTCCATCCTATATTCTTTCTTCACTCTCTTCCTCTTTGCTATGCAGTTATCTATTTTTTCCCCTAACAGAATTAGGCAATTAATTGCATTCTTCTTTCCCTCAGTCACTATGTAATATCCCATTGAGTGTGTAACCTTCTCCTTGGAAGAGCAATGGTGATATTCTCTTTCTAAAAGCTGGAGAAGAGGCTGCAGGTACTGAAGCCATGAATCCCCTGGTAAGTGGTGAGGATTGCTCAGCTGTGATGTGGGGCCAAACATGGATGGTGGGTCAAGCCATGCGTTTGGATGGGGTTAAGCACCCTCATGATGTACGAGCTGGTAGTAGACCAAACTGGAGGTTGTTTTAGGGAACAGATCTCAGACACTGTGCTGGAGCAAATGCCAGCAGGAACTTGGAGAGGGGTGTGTTGGTTTTGGATAGTAAGCACACAGAAGAAGAGCAGAGTCCAGAGAAGGAAGTACCCAAATAACAAGTTGGCAGGTATCCAGGATGGGTAAAAAAAGACACTGCAAAGACCTTGACAGATGTTTCCATCTTGTTATTTTGTCTGTCTGGTCCAGAAAACAGTGATAGTAAACAAAAAGAGTTTGGTTTGAAGACAACAAATGAAAAGCGAAAAAAATATTTTTGTAGGACAAAAGTCCACTCTCTGTGGAATTCATTTCCATCCACTGGCCAATTCACTTTTAAAAGCCTGAAAGCAATTCAGCTTCCATTACTTCTCTTGTGGGAACTATGCCTGTTCTAATAAATGTCACTGCTCACAAGCTTCTCCTGTGTAAGTTATGTTTACACTTCTTATTTAATCTTTTCAAAAAACAATTCTTTCTCCTGTGTGCTGTATTCTTCTAATACAGAGAGGCAGTTTGGTTCTTTTTCCTTTCTTCATTGCATGGCTAAACATGCAAAAATCTTTAAATCAATTAGTGGCCAATTACTTTTATTCCTCTTTTTCGAGTTTCTTTAAAGTCTTCAGTCAGTATTTTTAGAGGGGAAAACACCAGGCTTAAGCTCTACTCAGGTTCAGAACAATGCATTCCTAGATATCAAACATTTTCCAGTAGGACATAGTAGAAATCTGCTACTCTTAACAAACTCCTCCTTCTGGAAGGAACCACACACCTTCAATTTTCTATTAAAGGTTTCTCAGCTCTATCTCTAAGGCAACAGTTGACCTTACAAATCTGCTCAGCATCCTCTAGTCAGATGTAAACTACTTATCCTCTCAAACTGAGGTGCAGCTGCTGATTTTTTTCCACAAACCAACTTAAATTGCAGCTCAGGTCATTCCTCAAACACTTTTTCACCTACTGACTGTCATTCAGTCCAGCAACTAAACAGTTACCAAAACTCCATCTCTCCCCTAATTGCAGCACTTCGAAAGACAAAATAACATTCTGCATTCTAATTATTTTATAATTCCTCTGATTGTTATTTACTCAATGTGCAAATCATGCGTGTAACTCCCACATGCCTAGTGTTAAAGAAAATACAATACTAAATGCTTACAAATTTGCAGGAACAAATAGGCAAAGGTAGCTCATTTAAAAGCCACACTATGCCAGTCCCTCAGAAATGTTCCCATCTGAATCTGCTGAAGTTATACGAGCTTTGGAGAGCATGTCCAAGCCCTTGACCATGAATTCTTTGGGTCATCAGACTCCATGATATGCCTTTTTGTATACAGGCCTTTAAAGTCTAAAGTCTGGAGCATCAAATCCTTCTCAAGGCTGGAATTAGCAGTCTCACTCCCTGTGGGAGATAGGAGAAGCGTTGGAAGAAAGAGCCCCATGACCCAAGCCCTGTGCACTGGGCAGGGACCCCTCAACAAGCAGCTGGCAGGCAATGCAAGTGGAAGGCTGTGACTGAACTCTTGTACTCTCTGTGGAGCTCACAGTTCTGCTGCAGGCCCTTAGGAAGGTGTTTTTATTTCATTTTCTTTCCTTTAATACAGAGACTTTAAAGAAGAAGGAATTCATATTATCAGTTATTGAGAAGGAGGAAAACCCAGTGCCTTTTAAATGAGTGCTGCAACCTCAGTTTGCACTGCTGGTGTCTCCCACTTTGCTCCTACTATCTAACCTAGAGGAATTAGTTCAAAAGCTGAGCTGAGTTATCTGTTCAGGAGGCAGAGTGTTGGATTTGGGTTTCCTCAGTCTGGGGAAGGCACTGGAAGCTGCCTACCCCATTTCATGGCCAAATGCTTCAACCAATCTGGGATAACAGCAAAGATAAAGATAATGACAACACCACTAATGCCACCTTCTCTGTGGATGAGTTTTAAAAGAAAAACAGTGTGTTCCTTACAATTTTTCAAAGAGTTTATGAGCCCTGCTCTCAGGAGAGGGCTCTAAACCCTGGATTAAAACAGGCAAAGTTGCTTCCACTCATCCTAGATAAGATGCCAGACTTGCAGAGGAGAGAGACAGACTGTGGCTGTATATTTGTGTCTGGTATTTCCTATTGCCCCTTCACAGGCCTCTTCCCTCTCAGCATGGGAGATGTTCAGATAAGCATTTTGAGGTGTATAATTCTCAGCAGGCACCACGTGGGGAGACTTCATATTGGACTTAGAGTATTAAGTGGTGACAAAACTCCTAAACACAAGCTATTGAAACACAAGGTCTTCTTACTTGATCTAGCCACAACCTACAAGCCTTTCTTGCTCCAAAAAATGGCAGTCATAGCAAAAAAGTGCAGCAACAAGCATTCTTCATGAACAGGTTTTGTGTAATGAAAGCCATTCTGCATGCTAACTACATTATCTGTCTTTTAGAAAACTTATTAGAGTAATACACAAAAATGTACAGAAAAATCTCTCTTTACCAGTGCTCCATGGAAAACGCCCTTACTGATGCTTTTGCAGAGGGAGTTTTTTCTTGCCTTTTATTAAATTGCACACTAGTCAATCTGCCATAAATTGTTGCTCAGCATTGATGTACAACATTTCTACTGGAGGTGACAGAAGATTTAATACTAGACATTTTTTGCTCACCTCATCAAGGTTATGCCTCTTACTTTTAATGTGCATTTGAAATACATCTTCTAATGCCCTTAAAAGAAAAAAAAAAGAGGAACATCAGTGCAAAAACTCCAACAGTTCAAAGGCTGTAAACTTTTAAAATGAAAAATAACTACTCAGCCTGTCTTTCAGATCACTTAGAATGCATCCCAGCTTTTAACTTTTGCTCCATCCCCTCCCTATCCCTACTGTACTTGTAAGTAACTAAAATATTAAGGATTTTAAGGTTGTTGGATATTGCCATTCCAAGTGCACGCAGTTTGGAAGGAACTATGCTAGGGACAGACTTTCATGTACATAATTCCGATTTCTTCTTCCACATTTAATAAAAATGTTAGAGTATTGGTGCTCTCCATCACAGGGTGGTAGTTCTCTGTATTTAAGGTGGGGCCTAAGTCTTTAGACTTTTCTCTCATTAAAACCACCAATTCTTTACACTGATTGAATAATTGGTCAAAATTTTATTACTCAAAGGAATAAACATGAAAGGCAAAGCACTTACTCTCTGTGATAACAACTTCTAATCAAAATATCATTAGTGAGATCCTGAAGAAAGCGAAGATACTCTTCTTCTCTATAAAAATACAGAAGTTGTCAGCATCTTTCTCTAACATATACTGAATGCAAGTGAGGTTTACAATACCATCCAAAGAAGCAGAAATTTTAGAGTAATTAAACTAGCTCAAATAAAGAGTTTTGCCAACCTATCCAAAAGTGATGAATCTGTTAACTAGTCTGCATTTTTTTACTGTTCAGGTTTATAAGTTTTAAAATGACAAATTTTGACAGCTCTGTTGGTCAACTCCCAGTTACTTTAATCCATTAATTTCATTAAACAAGAATATCTATGCCTTTTGTGAACAAACAGTTAAAAATAGTTCCAATTAACAAAGTGTAGGTATTAGAAGATAAATTACTATTAATATTGTTTATTTATTATTTATCTTTACCATATTTATTTTGCCTACAGTAAGAGGAGTGGCATGACTAAGAAAAGGTCTTCCAACTTTCTGATTTCCCAAGGAAGTAACTGAATCCCGCATTCCCAGCAGACTCCCTCTACTCACTGCATACAGCTATTGCTAATTGGCTCTTGTGCCTTGTTTTCAATTTTCCACCAAACTCCTACTTTAATATTTTGATATGAAACTTAGAAACAGTTAAAAGTGACTAACAAATATTTAACTTACTTTTCTTCAAATTGTAATCCTGGAAAAAGTGGCATTTCAGAATTTTGAATCCACAATTCACAGTTCTGCCACAAAAAGGAAAAGGAGGTAAATGTAGATAATTCGTTTAATTATCTTTGTATTAACATTATGTATTTCCACTCAGAGTACCCGGGGAAATGATCTGATTTCACAACATATCAAAATCACAACATCATCACATGGCAGCTCATGTGAAATAAATGTCTTGAGAGTCAATCACTCACATAAATAACGAACAAGTATTATTATTAGGTTCGTTCATGTGAGAATGAATTGTCCATTTCCAGAAATGGAAACCAGTTTGAACAATCTGAGAGAAATGATACAAATGCTATGAAGGAAATAAGAAATTCTGACAAAATTGAAAAACTTTGCAGACTTCGTACTTTTTCTTTAGAAGGAAATGCAAAATACATTTGTATCTTTGAAAGAGGACTTAGAAAATCAGATTAATATCAAAATTATCTTTTGCTGTGGCTCATCAAATGAGGATAGGAGCTTCTCTTGATAATATTGTTAAATGAAGGTTTTGGTGGTTTCGAGCACGGAATCAAATAGTGCTATCTAGCATAGGGCTATCAACATTCATGTCTGTGGTGCCTTGGCAGAGCTGTGTAGAAATTCAACATGGATTCTGTAAAGGGGTGTGCAGGCCAAGGAATCATACAAAATTTCTCTATCTTCGGCTATTGCCTTAGTTACTGTTAAGCAGCCCTTATTTTTAAGAGCACTAAATTTATGAAATCAATTCATCTCAAAAATCCAGATGACTAATGGAGTACAACTTCCAGACAAAGTCTTGTACAAATACTACAGTAGTGACCACAGACTGAGAGAATAGCACTTTGTCTGGACATTTATGGGCTCCAAGTTATTATTTGTATGGACTCAAAGGCTGTAAACCAACCAAAAAGTAAGAGGTCAGTCAAGTAGGGATGAGCTCTGCTTTCAGAAGATTAGATTTGTGTTGGGATACAGTGTTTTTCATATTGCATAATGCCTCATTTGTGTTTCTCAGAGAGCCCAGTCACTCTAGCTGTTCCTATTTTATTCACAGTGTCTGTTGACCCTATCTAGCCCTGCATGATAAGTTTCTCAATTGCAATCTTAGTCACTTCTCATAAGATTATTTAATTTTTTGGTTTTGCTTTTTACATATATTCAGCAAAGCCAATGAATCCATTATCCATTTCATTTCCACATAACCAGGACACTTTTGTGTATGAACAGTATGCTTCACTCTTTTTACTTTGTAACACACTGAGTACACCAACCTCAACTGGCTGCTGAGAGAAGTGAACAGAATGGGGTCTCACGTGTGAATCTTCTAAAAATCTGAAAGATTGAAAGCATGGTGAGAAACAGTTATGATTCAAATGAGGTGTTTGAAAGCAGAATTACTTAACTTTAAGCACTGATGTAAGTACCTGTGCAACTCGCTTTTCTTTTCGTTACTGATGTCTGATGATTTAAATGGTGGTCTGCTAGGGGAGGAGCTCCTTTTTCTTGAAGGAGGATTATAATACCTATACTTCATAAGAAAAGATTGATGTGATGTCTTTAAGATCCGAGGGCTAAAACATTGCTTCTTTTCTGTAAAATAGGCTGAATGTCTGTCCAGGAGGTCCCCAGAGTATGTTTTATGAACAGAGTTTTGAAATGCCTTCTTCGTGTTGCGACTGCCCAAATGCGTGCGAGAACGCAGAAGCAGTGAAGCAGATGATCTGTCTGTACTGGAGTTGTGAACAGGAGTCTGAGACAAAGCACATGGAGCACCATTTGGGATAGACCTTCTTGCAGCAGGAGCTGGCATCAGAGTCCTTGAAGTGAACTTCTGAAATGATACAGAGGGAGGCTGCTCTCTCTTTGTTCTGGAAGAGTTGTTCCAACCAGATGTCAAATATGGGTGACCATTTTCCAACGGTGACCTCCTCATCTGTAAGTTAAAGAATAAAACTGACAGAAAAAAATCACAAAAGAATTCGCTGAAGACTGTGTCTCCTACAAATTAATTCACACAGGAGGAATTTTAAGAAACTGTTTTCAAGCTGAGTCAATTGGTCTAAATGATTTATTTTGTTTTGGGAACTGCAGTTAGGAGTAAAGCAAACCTGCCACTGTGCTTGAGCTAGTTAACCAGTCCTCTTCCTAGTTTCTTTTTCTTTGCTCCTCTTTACAAGGTTGAGATTTCTAATGACAAATAGTCTTATGAAATTACAGAAATCCTATTTTGATTGCCAGGGCTCATGGGGGGAGAATAGGACACTTTTTTCTGCCTTGCACATTGTGGGTTCCCATCTATGAAATTCATGACTCAATGTCAGTCTCACAGTCCTTCTTCAATGGCACCTTCTATTCTCTCTCTCTGTGTGCCTGTGCAGGTGCCAACATGGCTCCATCTCAGGAGTTTGAAGTCAAACAGAGCCACTGTTTTCCTCACAAATACCTTAGGTGAAATTGTGGCCTACTATTTTGCTACTTTTCTCACTGGTAGCAAGATTTTACAAATCAAAATAATGCACATTTGAATTGGATGACATTGTTTATTAACAGTATAATTTGTAATCCAGTGGTAAACCAGTCTAAATATAGTCTGCTGAGGAATTTTTGTCCCAGAGAGACTCTGGACTATGGCAGAATGAAATGTTTTGCAAGAATTTGTATAGTGAGATGAGGTCCTCTGATAGAATTTGGTGAAGAAAGGTCTGCTCTCACTAGTATAAGGTTGTACAGTTTGTGGTATCTAGCAGAATACATAGAATTAGGAATAACTACTTCAGGATCTTGCTTTTATCAGTAAATAACATTCTGAAATTCAGAGGATACTGTAAAACAATGTACAATTATTGCATTGCATTCAGTAGGAAAAAAAACTATTGGGATTTCATTCTTTCGAAAATATTGTGTACAGAAATCATCCTAATAAGAATGTTGTCACACAAAACAGCAAATCATTTCAGTAAATTCACTCAATGTAGGTTTTTCCCTGGGCTCCCACGTAATACTCTGGCCTTGTGAGTGTCATGCGCACATGGCACTTTCAGAGCAGGGACACATTTTAGTCATGTACACATAGTCATAGCATGAGTATCTGTCATTGTAGGCCATGAAGGGATTGCAACAGTGCCATGGGAGGACAGCTGCCACTTGGCAAGACTGAGAGTCAAATATTATCTATGCTTCACTAGACTATAAAAAGCCACATTGAATAAACCTGCATGAAACTTGTGTTACAGGCACTCCCCAGCACCACAGAGTACAGCTAATTAAGGGGAAAATGGTCTTATTCATGTGACTCAGCATTACCTGTTAGAATATCACATACCTTCTGCTGGCTTGGAGAAACACTTCTGGAGTTGAATGGTGTGGCAGGAAGACTCCGTACAAGATCCCTCTTATATTTTTCAAGGGTTTGAATTAGTCTGTCTCTTTTCTGTTGATCCTTGTCTGTACATGCAAATATGAAAAAAACAACCCTTTCCAGTTTAATCAATGATCGAGTCACAGAGTATCACTCTTCATTCTTCTTTTCGCCAGTAAAAACTCTTCTGTCTCCTCCTCTTAATACCAAGTAGCAGACAGAGAATGCAATCATACTACTTTTTACATTTGGCTCTTGCTAATTCCATGCTCAGCACACATCTGAATTTGAAATCAGTGTGAGCCAGGACTCCTGAGCTATTGGAGGGATAAAAGAGCATGGCAATGTTGTTTCCACCCCTTGCACATTCTTTCCCTTATCCTAGAAAGAAGCTGAGGCAGGTAAAACAGAAGAGCTGAGGCAGTCGAGTGAGAATTCAAGTCTACATATAAAGAGTTGGGTGACCAAAGTCAGGCTGCCACTGTGTTCTGTGCAGACTGCAATGTCACGAAAGTCTGCTTTCTGTATTGGTTAAACTCAGGCTGAGAAGAGTAGGGTGACACTTCTGCTAGCCCCTCACACACTAAAAGAACAGAACAGGCTTAGTCTTTTGGGACTGGGACAAAAGAAGTGGTGGATGACTCATCCCCAAAGTGTTCAAGGCCAAGTTGGATGAGACTCCGAGCAACTTTGTCTATTGGAAAGTGTCCCTACCCATGACAGGGGAGTTGGAACTAGATGATCTTTAAGGTCTCCTCCAATCCAACCCATTCGTGATTCTACGATCTTCTGATCTTCCTGAAAATATGCAAGTGAGAGAAGAAATAAGAACACCTATTCTTTTAAGCATTATTGCTATAGAGGATATTACAAGATTTAATATGGAATATATTATATATTACGTATTATAAAATAATAATAAGGAAACACGGAGATAAGAAGGGGAAATGAGTTACCCAAGACCACAGAAGCCCATAGGGGCATATTCATGTATGATGAAAAGCATTTCATAATTATCCAGCTTTTGACAGAATCTTACTTTTAGCAATGCAAATAGGAATGATGCATGATCAAAATTTTCAGCTCTTTTACCTGCCATGTTCCTTCCATACACAGCTCTGAGAAAAAGGATATGAATTTTGATGTGCAAAAACACATTTCTCTTTGTAGATAGTGTTTAAAAAATAATAGCCCCTGCAGCTCTAGCTGAAACTAAGGACTCACACACAAAATATCATAAAGTGGGGTCCACTGAGGTCCCGCCAACTGCATATGGCTCTTTTGAGTAGAAAATGCAGCTCTGTCATAATTTCCTTGCCCTATGGAAGTCTAACATGTCAATATTGACATTGCACATGTCAATACTGCCAGGCAGGCCAGCAGAGAGCTGTGCTCTCCTCCTTCCCCTGTGGGTACAGCTGCAGAGACTCCTCAAATATGTAATTCTAGAGGGCTGGAAGGGCTTCAGGAGGGCTTTTAAAATATGACTTCTGGTAGTGTGTTGATACTTTGATTAATACTGACTTATTCCTGACAAAATGCACAACTGGTTCATGATTAGCCCAGGCCCCCTTACACTGCTATTGGAACAACAGACTAGAATTTACAATGTGCTGCAAATTTTTTGCTAATAAGAAGCAACAACTCCTCCTCTGAAGTGGTGTAATTGCAGGGCATCACACTAGTAACATCACAGAATAATGCTTGAAACCTGGCAAAACAGCATTTACTAATGATGTTTTTTTTTGAAGGGAGAAATGCATTAAGCTGTATTTAGTATTGCACATTTCTGAATTAACAGAAGGGTTACAGAGTTTTCGATAGTCTTAACATACTATTTGTTTTGGAAAAGAAACAGCTGAAACTTTTTTTTTAAAGAAACCAAGATGCTTATTTGCTGTACTTAATGGTTGTCTCTGAAGTTTGCGAGGGGTCTTGCATGGGGCACGCCACATCTTGATAATTCCCCTCTAAGGTGGCCTCAAGTCTGTGTCCTATTCATTGAAAAAACCATATTTCACTAACAGCTAAAACCAGTATATAGTCTCCTGAGGCATGTAATCTGGCTTTCCAGTCTTGCATAGACATGAGTTCATAGCATCATCCTATTAAGAAAAACATGTTGACAATGCTAAATCCTATTTGGATGACTGGGAAGCAGGATTATACAACTCACTGGAACAAATAACAAAATGTACTTGCTCAATCGTGTTCATACAGAGATTAATACCTTCCCCATTTATCTAGGTTTGCATGGTGGCCAATCCAAGTACTCCTCTGTTCTGATTAAAGACTTTGCATTTTGCAGTCATATGAAAAATAACAGACAAGGCAGCTTGATGCGGTGTCTGTGCAACAATGCCACCAAGTCAGGATACCAGGCTTCTTTCATGACAGTGCCAATGACCCGGGAAGCCCTGAGGAAAAGTGACAGCCATGCCTCTCTGCCCCTCTCTCTGTGCACAGGTGAGGCAGGACAACAACTGTCTATCCAAGGCATGGCAGAGCCTTCAGCAAGCCTTGCCAAGGACAAGAAAATAAAATGTTCCAGGTCAAAGAGCCACAGGTTTTAAACAGCCTTTGTCTAGTATTTCACTGATATTTTTACTATAAATATGGGTTATAAACATGCCACATGGCAGTAAGCCTATTCAAATAAGTACTATTCCACTCCATTATAGTTTCATGTTTTGAGTAGTTAGCAAAAGCTCCTGGGCCGAATGTCTCATACCAACTCTCCTTTCCCTTACCTAACAGATGCCTGGTTTCACTGACTGTTGGGTTTTGCTGTGCCACAGCCAGGTGAGACTGTCTGAAGGGTCTTGCAGCACATCTTGGTTTGCTGACATGTCTGCTAAGGGATTTATTTATCTCACCATCTTCTAGCCCTGCCCTCTCCAGTTTCTCTTTTCTCACTGCTGTTTTTCTCATTCATGTTTTCCTCTATGCCCCTTGTAAGATGAAACATAGGTAGGTATTCTTCCCGAGCATGCCAAGGCAGTGGAAGGATTAAAGAAAAGGTTTATTTCAGATGCAAGGATCACTTTTTTATGATGTGGCACAGCACATTGGGACTTCAGGGGCAAAAGGTGAGACCTCACTCCCTCAGGGCCCCTTTATCCTCTCTGTTTCTCTCCTGTCTTCCCAAGACCTCTGTGTGTGTCTGTTAGGACTCCCTCTCTCACATATCAGAGAGAGAGGCTGAGAATTTCTCTTGCCATGCGGGGTGGGAAAAGCACTGAAACTGTCTTTAAGAAAGAGTTACCACTTAGGAACTCGGTTTTCTCTAGGAAGGCTTTCTGCCTAAGTTTCCATTACAAATTTTTCTGAAATTGTACCTATTCCTATACCCATTCTCATGATTCCAGGGCTCCTGACTCTCACCTGCTCCCAATACTCACAGCATGTAGTGTTTCTGGCTACTTCCTTTCCAAGGCCTCTCCTCTCCTGCACTTCTTTCCCTAATGTGACCTCGCCCCAGAATCACCTGTCATGCTCCCCATGCATGAATGAAGGGGCTAAGAATGGAAGTCATTCCTGAATTTTCAGGTCACATTCATGGCTCTCACACGTACTCCTTGCAGTTCTGTTTGACAGGCAGCTGTGACCACACCACTGAGAGCAGCCTGGCCCAGCCACATGGACTGCTCATTGTCAAGAGCTACACGAGGAGAAAAAAATCACCTGACCATTCTGTCGTTGTCCAAACGCTTTTTAATAACAACTAGAAATGACCAAGGGACAAAATAGAAAATAAAATGCAAACTTTGCATGATAGCTGTCTGAAGTTTTTTCCTTTTCTTTTAGAAAAGCAAAAACTAGCCCTCCCTTGCCTTTAAATCTCATGTCTTAGCTGAAGTGTTTAAAACTGGATGCAGTTTACGGTTAAAACCATAGCTGGGAATAATTACTTGGGGGGGGGAAGTGGCAAGGTTTGACCTATAAAAGCATATAATGATTCAGAGTGCCAATTGAATCCTCTCAGGACATGATTGTTTTTACTCCTGCAGCAGCCAGTATCTCTTGACTACCTTTTTGATGCTTCCCAGGGAATAGAATCATGTAGTGTGGCCAGTGCAGCAGTTATGTAGGCAAATGTGTTCAAGAGCCTTTCTGTTAAACTCGTTTATTTGCTAATTTATCGTCCTGTCTACTGTGGCAGGAATTAATTTATCAGTGCTAGAGTACAATTTCACTGGTACTTGTACTGGTATCTGATAGTTGTCAATGTGACAGAAGTACAGAAAATAAAAGGGATTTAGTTGTAATCTGGTCCCTGTAAAACACAGAAAGATCAGATACAATAGCCCTCACTCTGTTTTCCTGGCAGTTCTTGTTGCTTGACATTTGATAAAACATCTTGTCTGTCCTGTGCTGCTGTGTCAAAGTCTTGTGTACAAAATGAGCAAACACAAACTTACTCGAGGTAGTAGAAGCAGTTTAGCAGATTATATTGGCCACCCCAAACAAAAAACTAAAAAACTTTTTCTTTTCTTTTTTTTTTTTTTCCTAGTGCCTTTCAGTTCTACTCGTCTTTATCTTAAGTAGGAAGAACAATCAGCAAACACCTTAGTCTGCTTCCACAGCTGCCTCCTAAAACAGAAGGCTATTTTCAGGTCTAAGACAGAACATTATGGCCCAAGTATGAACATGGGATATAAAGCTGGAACAGGCTTTCCCAAAGTTGTTTACCAGATGTTACAAAACTCAGTGATTATAGTTAGAAATAGAATCCACACCTTGGCTCTTGCCTTCATTTTTGGCTCAGAGTGGGAGTTCTGGTTTAATTCCTACCAAGTGTTTTAAAAGTTGGCTGATGTTTAACTCCTGATGACTTTTGAAACAACAGGGAACTTTTGAAGGACTGTGGGGAAAAACGAGGAGCAAAAGTGGTGAACTCCAGACTGATATCAGTCCTGAGCATAACAACTGAAAGGCTGTTACAAGACTCATTTGAGGTAAATAATGTCAGAAACACCATTCAAAAAGGTTAAAAACATAACCATGCTAAGTTGGTAAGAAAAAAGAGAGATTTTGACTGTGGTTGAATGAGACAAATGTGTTGATTTAAAAAACTTCTGTAAAC